ACATGGCCGACGTTTGCGTGATTTTGGTCTTCCAGAACCACAAACATGGACTAAAGAAGTAATTGCGGAATATCAACGCCATTCTGATTATGTTCGGTATAGTCAACTTGCTGAAGAATTCTGCTCAAAAATGACCCCAGAACAGATTGCTTTTCATGATGAAATTATAGACTATATACTATGGAAACCAGAAGCTGGTCCTATTCCAATATCAAAATTTCCAAAATTTTTAGATGGAAAGGCTGGTCGTGGTAAAACATTTCTTATTAATGCTATTTGTCACTCAATCCGTGCTGCAAAAAAAATTATATTACCTTGTGGAACTACTGCATTAGCAGCATTATTGTATGAAGGTGGTCGCACGGCTCACTCATTATTTAGAATGCCTGTGGAAGAAAACAATGTCAATGTTCAATCAACAATCAGATACCATAGTAACCGTGCAGACTTAATCCGTGAATCAATGCTAATAATTTGGGATGAACTCCCAATGGCAAATAAAGCTGTTCTAGAAGGAGTTGATCTTCTTCTTAGACAAATCTGTAACAAAGACGAACCATTTAGAGGAAAACCATTTATAGGTGCTGGCGACTTTAGACAAGTAGCGCCTATTGTCAAAGGAGCGGGAAAAAGTGCTACCATTGATGCATCAATTAAAACTTCATATCTATGGACGTACTTTGACAAATATACCCTCCACCAGCCTATACGTAATGCAAATGATCCAGGTTTTTCTGAATTTGTCGATTCTATCGGAAATAACTGGCAAGAATCAGAAGTATCTCTGGAAATTTTTGAAACAACTCATGATATTAAAAAAGCAATTTCCTTTTTGTATCCAAAAAATTCACTTACAGATTTTAATGCATTACAAACAAGAGCTTTTCTTAGTCCCCGCAATATTTTAGTAGATGATTTCAATAGTCGAATTCTCAATAATTTACAGGGAACTGTTCACACATATTTCAGTTATGATGTCGTAAAGGAAAATGATGAAATATTATATGATCACACAATTGCAACACCAGATTATCTAGCTTAACTAACACATCCTGGAATACCGAACCATGAACTTCATATAAAAAATGGTTCCATTTGCTCTATTATGCGAAATATCTCTATCGAAAAAGGATTAGTTAAGAATGCACGAGTTATTGTAACTAAATTAGGAAGACGGCTAATTGAAGTAATACTGCCTAATAACAATCAACCTAATCACATATTGGAAACCCATCTACTTCCTAGAATTAACTTTTATTTTCAATCAGAGTACTGTTCATGGACAGTGTACCGAAAACAATTTCCGCTACGTCTAGCCTATTCAACAACTTTTAATAGTTGCCAAGGTTTAACTTTAGATCATATTGTTATAGATCTTCGAACCCATGTGTTTGCTCATGGTCAACTATACACTGCTATCTCCCACGTAAGAAATAAAAAGCATTGTTTAATTCTATTACCAGAAGGTAATACAACCGTAAAAACAGTCAATATTGTCTATAAAGAACTGGTTCAATAAGCATATCAACCAGTAAATTAAATGCGTTTTTTGAGTTCTTATTAATACACTTTTTTTATTCCCAAATTTAATCGTAACTATACATTATATTTCCTGAATTATTAAAAAATATATGACATAAAACAGGCACAATACTGTAAAACTTACAATAAAAATCAAATGCAAAACAAGTTTATTTTCCACAAACACGATCTTATCATTATAAATATTATAATAACTTTATTATAAGCTACAACTAGCATTGACATTATAATTCCCAAGTATTATTTACAACAGTACAGTATTAAATTTCATAATTGCTTATCTCAATTTATAACAACTATTGCCCGATTTATTCAAAGCACTTCATATGAATGTGAGTACGTACCTACTTCCAATCTGTTAACTTCACATAAACCTGAATCCTGGGAAAAAATCAATACTAGCTATAACAGCAGCAAAAATAATTATATAAGCTTAAGCAATTATTTTACAGTATTTTTACACATACTAACCAGATAAAACCATCTAAACCTGGTTAGCATTTCGCACGATCATTCAGCTATCTACCAATTCATAGAAAATATTTACTATTATATTACAAATCTTATATAAATCCTCAAGTTATAAAACAATAACCGCAAAATCACAACTATGCCGTGCTTCTGTAGTACTATCGTAAAGATAAGCCAAGTTCGACAATCTATAAAAGAAAATATTAATTCAATTATTTTATGGGCCATTGGCACATATCCTGTTGAACAAGAAGACAATGATATTGAAATGATTATGTTCATACCGATCAACTCCAACGATAGAGATCCCGACAGTCAAGCAATTTTCGAAAAGAACGAGTACTATGCCATCAGCGGAAAAATTGTTCCTGAAGATTATCGTGGTGTTAAAAGACCGAAAGTACTATTATTTATTAAATTTATATGATACCAATAACAATGAACAATAAATTCATTACTCATCTATAATATTTATTAAACTCAGATGACAGTCGCAACATCAACACATCACAATTAATAGAACAATCAACAGACAATTTAATTCAAATAACTGTTCATTAAACTCTTCTCTGGTCGGCG